AAGTGGAGAGCAAATGTTTTGAGAATGATGAGGGCAATGAATGTACAAATGTGCTTTACACAATTGATGTATGTATGGATTATGATAAGAGTTGTGTGAGCCCCTATGAAATGATTTAAAAAATAATAATTTATAAATTATCAAGGGTTCATGAGAGGGGAGAGCAGAAAGGGTGGGGGGGAATGAGGAGCTGATACCACAGGCTCAAGCAGAAAGCAAATGTTTTGAGAATGATGATGGCAACCAATATACAAATGTGCTTGACACAGTGGATGTATGTATGGATTGTGAGAAGAGTTGTACGAGCCCCCAATAAAATGATCGGAAAAAATGATACAACCTGATCCTATAGATTTCATCCTGCTTCATGAACATGACCACTACTAATCCTGCCAAATTAACATCATAGAGATTAGGATTTACAAAATGCAGGATATTTACATTAGATCATAAAAGTGAAGAGTGAGTCCATAATACTGACAATCATGCCCTAGCCAAGCTGACACATTTTGGGAGCTACAGTTTGGTCCATAACATCCAGTTATCAGTATAACAAAGTAGAATTATACATAGCTATCATGTAAGGTTAAGCTTAATATATACTTAATATAGCTTTCACTTAAAAAACTCTTACATTGGTTGAACAGATGATTCAGACAAATGTAAGCCCCACTGATGTAGGTAGTGGAAACTAAAACCAGAAATCTGCTTGAAGTACTCAGAGCCAAGAGTACTGGAGAAGAAGATCCCAGGGTGAGAGAACTAGCATTCCCAGAGGGGAAATTGTTACGTGGGTCAGAAAGAAAAGAATCTTGTCTGCAAGCCACTTGCCACCCTGCCAACCCTGTGCTTCATTTAGCTGGGTATCCTGAACAGGCCCATGCTGCCTTGCTTCAAGGCATTTGCCCTGGTAGTCCTTTCAGTTGATGCCGCTCTCCAGCTTCTTCCCTACCTGCCAACACCTTTAAAAAAGGACCTATTGTATAACAACCTTTTCTTTAATAAAGCTTTCCAGGTTTCTCTGACTCTGCCCACATCTTTTCCAGAGCCTACTTCAAGTTTTGTCATTGTCATATTTATCACTGACCATCACCGTAATCTCAGTATCCATCTGATCCTCCTACAGAGTTGTGAGCTCTTTGAAGGGCAACCTGGGAAGGCCGATCATGTTTTGATTTAGGCTCCGTTTATGTATCACTTGTTAACTTCTGTTTTGGAATGTTTGGTGTGGAATTAGTTTTAGTTCGCTGAGTTATTTTTGTGCTACAATTTCAGTTTTCTAACAGCTATCATTTCATTATTCTAACTTGTGCAAAGGGGTATGATTTTTTTACTTTGTAGTTGTAGTCCACCTATGTGGATAATAGCATTATAAGAGTTAGTATTCTAGAATTGCTCATTGTCCTGTAGTCTGGCTGACTTTGACTTTTTCTTTTTTTTTAATTTTTCCTCCCCATAGGAAATGACTTAAAGGCCTTACAAACACATCTGTTCATTCTTGCTTCAGACATTATAGTCGGGAGCCAACCCAGCCTGGAAGCACCTCATATTAATGCTACAAGGAAACTGCTACCTCAGCAAACAAAAGGAAAAGAAGACTTACAATACAAATGCCAATTTTTAAAAAGGTTGTTCTCGGAATACAAAGGCAATTCAAAAAAATTTTTTAACTTAAAAAGCATAGCAGGTAAATGGATTTGGCAGGCGGGCTCTGTCAGAGTTCTTCAGGTTCTTCTCAAGGACTTAGTGCAAAGTAATTCTGTACTGCTTTTTAAATTGCTGTTGATCAGCATGTGGGTTTTGGGGTTATAACTTTTCTGGTCTATTGAAGATACCTTATATTACGTTGCAGTATCTTATTTTACATTTTTAAAAGTTAAGTTATTTTTCTGCCACTGTATATAGGAGTATCAAAATATTCTTGCAAACAAGTACAGACAACTTTTTCTTGGAAAGTATCTTTTTATTAAGAGTGGAATGCTAGACAGTTCTTATACAGCATTTTTCTTATACACCTTTATTTTTTGTCAGCGGCCCTGTCTGTAATTAAAATACAAATTATATAAAACTGTTGTCCTCTTCACGTCCACATTGGATCCCATGGTCCCCTCCCTCATGGAAATGCCTTTTTCAAAACGTAGGTTTGCAGAACTCCACTATTTTTATACCTAGCCACAGTTTTGGAAAAAGCCTCAAAACCCTGACCAACACACCGACCGTGGGACAACTTCTCCACTCGCATGTATTGCTGCAGTGCCCAGGACAGTAAAATGGACTACAAGCGGCGCTTCCTGCTTGGCGGGTCCAAGCAGAAGGTGCAGCAGCACCAGCAGTACCCAATGCCTGAGCTGAGCCGAGCATTGAGTGCTTCCCTGGCATCTACGACGCCCCCCCCCTTGAGCAGTCTAACTGCTGCAGGCAGCTGCCACCATGCCATGGCCCACTCCACGCCCATCGCTGATATCCAACAGGGCATCTCCAAATATCTGGACGCCCTCAATGTCTTCTGCCGTGCCAGTACTTTCCTCACGGACCTCTTCAGCACTGTGTTCAGGAACTCACACTACTCCAAGGCAGCCATGCAGCTTAAAGATGTCCAGGAACACGTCATGGAAGCAGCCAGTCGACTAACTTCAGCCATAAAGCCTGAGATTGCCAAGATGTTGATGGAACTTAGTGCTGGGGCTGCAAACTTTACAGATCAGAAGGAGTTCAGTGTCCAGGATATTGAGGTACAGTATCTTCTGTTTCTCAATTTGCATAGCAGGGTATAAGGTAAGTGGGAATGTTGTTTCAGTTTTCCTAAAATGGAATAATAGTGATCTTTGTTGGCTTTCTGTTGATAACGCTCTCCTCGTGTAAAACTGGCTCTACCTGGGTCTAAATTCCTTTCATTTAAAATTAAGTAGGTTAAAAGATCATTAGTTAAAAGCAAACAAATCATCTAGTACTTTTTTAATCATTTTATTGGAGGCTCATACAATTCTCATTACAGTCTATACATGCATCCATTGTGTCAAGCACATTTGTACATTTGTTGCCATCATAATTCTCAAAACAATTTGCTTTCTACTTGAGCCCTTAATATCAGCTCCTCATTTTTTCCCCTCCCTCTCTGCTCCCCCCTCCCTCATG